GGTAACGTGACTCTCGCCGGCTCATGCCCCCCTCTTCTGCAGGGGGGCGTGGTCAGCTGCTGCTCAGAATTTTCAAAGACAGGCTTGGAAGAGAGCGAAAATGAGCGAAACGAGGCATGGCTAAAAAATTATCTGTTTGGTATTTTGAAAAATAAAATGTATAAATATACCTTATATAGGTATGGTCATACACTATATCTTTTAAATATAGCACGATAGGTCTCCTTTAAGTTGAATAATTAAAACGAAAGTTAATATAATCAAATATTATCAAATAATAATCAAATATAATCAAATATATTCTTGTATAACCCACAATGAAAATGCATTATATTTCATGTTGTTCTATAATCACAGTATTTACAAACACAAGGGGTTTGGTAAATTGAGTTTAAGGCCTATTATAGTTTAATGTCACAACTGAAGTGGGCCAGTTGAAGTTAGAATTTAAATGTCACAACTGAAGTGGGCCAGTTGAAGTTAGAATTTAAACGTCACAACTGAAGTGGGCCAGTTGAAGTTAGAATTTAAATGTCACAACTGAAGTGGGCCAGTTGAGGTTAGAATTTAAATGTCACAACTGAAGTGGGCCAGTTGAAGTTAGAATTTAAATGTCACAACTGAAGTGGGCCAGTTGAGGTTAGAATTTAAATGTAACAACTGAAGTGAGCCAGTTGAAGTTAGGATTTAATGTAAGAAATGTAAAACTGTGAATTGAGGTTTTATATTAGAAAAGGACGACAGCATGATATATTTCGTATGATTGTCACATTGTAACGACAGAAGGTAAAAACCCAGTAAAAGTGTGGACCATTTTCTTCAAGTAAAATCATCCCACCTTTTTGGATTGGGATAACTTAAAANAAAATAAATCTGCGCTCTCCTCTCCTGCTTAAAGGTAAGATTGCACACTGCCACACTCACACTTAGGCAGGGCCACACCTTTGATACCAGAATCCTTCGGGATCGCTTATCCGGATTTAGTGCGTCGTCTGAATTGAAACAGCAGTTAATTGACCTTTCGCAAAGCCACGCCCCTAAATGCCCGTTGTCCAATCATATTCGATCACGTGCGCGGCTCCCTGTGGAAGTCCGACAAGCTTAGCGTT